ATATATATATATATATATAATTTTATCAGATAACTATTTTGAAATTAAGTTAGTTTAAACAATTTTATTTTTTTACATTAATATTAATAGATAAGTTAACTTTAATTATAAATCGTAATTTAAAAGAGAAATATGAGAGAAAATTATAAGGTTGCTCAAATTAAGAAGAAAATTTGTACTAAGAGAAAAAAATAACAAAATTAAATGTACACTTACCAAGTTTGAAAAAAGTTATTTATGCCTATACCAAGCCTAATTCCAAAGCAGAAAAAAAAAAATTAATATACAAACAACATTCTGAAGCATAGATTTGCCACGTTAGCATCCGAAGCGTGTGAGTTTGTCACTTAGACTCAACACGTTTTGAATTAATACATAAGGAGGGATTAATATCGTATTAGTTTATAGATAATTATCATAGTTGTGAATGGACCTTACTTAGACTATTGATCCAACAAAATGAACCTTACTTTTTAGTGAATCAAAGTAGATGTATTGTATGTCGTTCTTGTTTATATCTTACGGGTTCAGAGTACTAGTCATGGCGACGGGATGGCCCAACCCGCCAGTTCGACATGAATCGATCGAATCGACCCAGAACCGGCCCGTGGTCAACAGGCCCAGAATTGAGCCCATAGTTTGATCGGGCCAGTTCTGGGCCTCATGTGTAAAAACTTTTGACCCGGTCGGCCCTCGAAACGGCCCGCCATATTTTCCTCTTTTTTTTTTTTTAATTTGTTGACCGGGTCTAGCCAGCCCGTGGCCTGGTTATTGGACCGTTGGCAGCCCGCTAATCTGAGCCGTTGAAAGCTTTTGACCGTTGGAGATCCAACTGTCAGATTTTTTATTTTTATTTTTTAAATTTGGTTCCACGGTCTGGGTCTGGGTTCTGTTTCGACCCGGCCTGCCGGTTCTACAACGGTTGAGATCCAATGGTCAAGATTTAGTTATGAAATATAATTAATATCTTATTAGTTTATAGAAAATTATGATAGTTGTGAATGAATCTCACTTAGACTATTGATCCAACAAAATGAACTTCACTTTTTAGTGAATCAAAGTAGAGATACTGTATGCACGTTCCTGCTTATATCTTACTGGTTCAGAGTACTAGTCATGACGACGGGATGGCCTAGTCTGTCATTTCGACCTGAATTGATCGAATTGGCCCGGAACCGGCTCGTGGTCAACAAGCCCAGAACTGAGCCTGTAGTTGATCGGGACAAATTTGCTTTTAAGTTTGAACTGCATATAAGCCTTAGGTTTGGACGTTTCAGGGGCTTACAAGCATTCAGTATTTATGTTTCTTAAGTGTTGCCCCTTACAAACTGGACGTTTGAACTGCATATAAGCTTTAGTTTTGGACGTTTCTCTTCATAGTCGGGCTTGCAAGTTAGACGTTTTATGGGCCATGTAGCTTAGCAATAAAACGTTTACGCCTTATGTAAGCTTAGCTATCAGACGTTTAATCCACGTTCTAGCTTTTACCTGGGACGTTTACTGAACGGACTTAAACCCTAACCTACATCTATTATCACTTTATTCACTCTACCATACTAATCAACCCATCACATTAGTTTAATGCAACATATATAAAAAAGTTTTAATGATCTAAGTCCTAAAATAACTCAAACACTCAAAAATCAAGATATCCATTTGTGAGTGAAAACAATGTAAGAAATAAAATAAAACAGGGGTTAACACAATTTATCTCATTTGCATATGTTCTCGATGATGTTGGATTACTAGACATGTGGATTAATGAAAAATAATGTAGAGATTGGTAAGTTAATTTTTAGTGGAGGAAGAAGGAGATTGATGAAGATGTGGATTCTGGTAAAGGTTAAGAAGAAGTAGATTGGTGAAGGTGTGAATTTTGGTAAAAGTGGGTCAAATTAATTTAGAGGCAACAAATAACAATTTGGGTAAAAATAGTAATTTGGGTAAAAGTAGGTAAAATATTTTTATTAGGACAAAAATGTAGTTTTAATCATTATTAAATTATTTTTTTCGGAAAACAAGTAGTAATTTGGCGCGACAAATAACAACACCTAATAAAAACTATGTATATATATTTACATGGTAAATATTTATTATGAGATACAATATTATTAATATTTTGATGTAAAAATTTATATATAAAATATTTAATTTTGTTACATTTATATATTTATATGATAAAAATATAATATATATAATTTTAAAAAATTTAAAATTAATTATTTGATTCAGCAATTGACTCGATAACCCAACCGTTGAACTTGTTACCCGGTGAACCAGAGTCGGGTAGTTTTGGGGCCGGGTTTAAAAAGACTAAATGTCAGTGTTTGTGGACCAAATATACGAGGGTCAACAATAGTGTGAATGGATTGCAACGAGGATTGCAATGATAAACGTACACCTCAAACTGATGTGGCTGACAGGGACACCAAATTATATTATCTTCACTAAATTACAAAAAGCACAATCTTATTTGGATGAGGACGCTAAATATAAGTTATTATTATTATTATTGGGCAAAAGGTTTTTGAAGATTTATATTTTGTCACTATAACCATTGTTGAGTAATGGACTTATTTTCAAATAAAATTATAATGGATGAAAAAAAAAATATTAAATAAACTTGATGTATTGTATTTTTATAATTGTACTTTTATTTTTGATTTCACGCTTTCATATAAAATTTTTTAGTTGAACTAAGATTTCGNAAAAATCACTACTTATCAATTTTATCAACACAATTAAATAATAAAAATTCGTATATTACTACAGAATTTTTAATAAAATTTACTGTTCATTTGCTTGCATATTTTTAACTATAAATTATTTATATTTATTATTAATTTTCTATAACATATACTTTTATTTTTTGCATTTTACCTAATTTCTATTCACAATCTAAAAAGCAATCCATGCTTCACCAAAAGTATATTTTTTTTTTTACTCTTTAACTCAATTTTTCTTCTAAATAATTGTTTAGGTGCGCTAGTTTATCAAATAATCCGTGCAAAATGAGTTATTTTGGTTAACTATAGTTAATTTTGAAAAATGTAGTATGGTTAGTTGTTAGTGAAATTTTAAAAATATATTAAAATAATATTTAAAATTTAATGATTAAACTTGATTTGATGTAAAAGTAGAAAATAAATTATTGAAAATGATAGGTGGTTAAAATTATGTGAGTGATGAATAGTGAATTAAAGTTGATGTATGTGTAATATTGATTGGTTTGTATTATTTAATTATATGAATAATATTAAAGATAGTGAGGTTGGATTAAAGTTGAATCAGATTTTGAGTATGAAATAAATGAGAGTAAATTAACTTGTAAACAATCAAGCCCTTAATCTACATCCGATCACACTCGACAGAGACAC